GGGGGGCGGTTCTGGCGGCCCGGTCCCCGTGCGCTGGAGGCTGGTCGGCGTGATCAGCATGCCAGATCGGGGCAAGGAGGCGAGGAGGGCGCCGTGGACATCTCCGAGGCGAGGAGGCGAGGAGGCGAGGAGGCGAGGAGGCGAGGAGGGCAAGGAGGGCAAGGAGGCGAGGAGGCGAGGAGGGCGCTGAGCAGGGCGTCGCCCTCGTGGCCAGGAGATGAAGCCAGGCGGCACTCCGTCCGAAGGGGGCGAAGAAGTTGCTGGATGATGGGAAGGTGGTAGCGTTGATGGCCTCTGGGGGAGACCCCGCGGGTGTGGGGAAGGCCGAGGGTTTTTGCAATGAGGCAGGTGCTGATGGACGAAGGGATCCTAGAGGACATGATCATTTTGGAGTCTCAGGCATTCACAACGGCGGAGAGCTTCTGGTTTGCCATGCGGTGAATCCCTCCAAGCACAGACAAATTCTACATAGTGACATCTGAATTTCACGCTCCCAGGGCATGGTGGACCGCTAGTGCTGTCTTCAATCACTTCTACACGATTCTTGAGGACGAGTTCAAGGACGATGAGCGCTGGACAAGCTCGACCAATAAGTACCCGAGATTGGAGGCGATAGTAGTGGCCATTCCCAACTTCTGCGGTACAGACCCCTCCACTGCAGACGACGTCTCTCTCGGTGTTGATGTCAGTCGGAGGTCGCTGGCATACCGCGCGATGCGCGAGATGGGCATCATCCAATGGAAGCCCGCTGATATGTACGGTGCCGCCCCGAAAGAGGGCCAGCTCAACCTGAACGCTGTCTGGTTCGCCACGATCGACGTCAACAAGGACACCGAGACGGCCAAGAATTGGGATGCTGCGATAGCGCAGATGATGAACGTCGTCCAAGCAGTGTGCGTGTGCAGGGGGGGCATGGAGGGGGACGGGCCAGAGATCGAAGAGTATCCTCTGGTCCTGCCTATCAGCTCGGACTTCCCCGCGGGAAAGACAGTCGACGACTGGGAAGCAGCCAAGAAGGAGTGCAATCCCGACTCTGATAGGTGGATTTTGGTAAAATTCTGTCCGGGAAGGGCAAGGAGGAGGCCGAGCTCGAGCTCTCCGACGACTGCGACACAATGCAAGTCGCAGATGCCAGCGCTCCGACGACTACCAGGAAGCCCTGAGCGCTCCGACATCGCCCTGAAGCTTGGACATCTCAGCAGCTTCCAGAAATGGAGGGCGGGCCGTTGTCAACGTTCGGCAGTAGTTGCAAGGTGGGATGGCGGGCCGTCGTCAGCATGTCAGCGCGGGCTGAAGCTCCAGGAGTCTCCCGTTCAGTTTTTCCCTGCTGTTTTGGATTCGATGCGGCTCAGATGCAATCGGAAGGCGGTGTGCGAAGCATTCCAGATTAATGACCTCGTCGTCATTCTCTCGCGTTCCTCCGCGCGGATCTCCCAGAGTCTCCGCCGCCGGGCCAGTTGTTGCTCCCGTCTCCATTTGTTCGCAGTGCCTGCAATTTCGCGCTCCTCTCGTGGCGCCGCCTGATCATGCCCTTAGCATGCAGCCGACATGCCCTGGCTTCTACACTTCCGCCATCTGGTGCCCCGCGCGCCCAGCAGCGTTCATGGAGCCTCGGCGGGGGCCCGGCGCCTACGCGCGCACTGGCGCGCGCTGGCGCGCCAGGGGGGGCCCCGGCGCCGAGCCAGCGCGTCCAAGCGGGCGCGCTCAGGGGAGGATCGGGCCGGGCGAAAGGGGGGTATTGGGAAAGGGGGGGTTACGAAATTTGCTGCATGCAGCTGGTTTTAGCTCCACCGAGGAGCCCATTCCTCGATACATGGCCGCCTCCGGCGCCGGGAGGCGCGGGGAAAATCAGCTACGTGAGCTGATTCTCAAACCCCCCCTTTGCTATCCCCCCCTTTCGCCCGACCCGATCAGGGGAGGAGAGGGGCAGCGCCGATCCAATCCGCGCGGATCTCCGAGGGTTTCCGCCGCCGGGCCATGGGTGCCTCTCCAGGGGCCGCCGGCAAGGTCTCGGCAGGCTCGCGCTCGCGGCGGCGCGCCCAGGGGGGTGGGGGGCCAGACAGGGATGCACCGTTGGGCCAGGGCTGGGACACTGTAGGGCGCGCTGGTGCTGCCACCCAGCCCCCGTAGGGCCCCCCGTTTTTTTGGGTTCGCGCGCGTGCGCGCCGAAAGGATTTTTCGCTCGAGCGGCTGCAGCTGTCGCGCGAACGCACTTCGCCTAGACAGCATACCCTCGGCCGGCTCACGCTGGTGGCGGCGCGCCCAGGGGGATGTGGCTGAGAGGGGCGTCGGCGGGGCTGTGGCAGGGGCAGATCGACTTGCAGCAGCTTCAAGGATAGAGGGCGGGTCGTGGTCAACATGTCAGCACGGGCGGAAGGCCCAGCATGGACGGCTTCGTCGTCATTTTCGCAGTTGGCTCTCCACACTGAGCCGTGCAACCTGTCATCCAGCGAAATCCAGATCCATCGTGCATGCTGGCTTTCGTAGATCGATCCACGGTGAAAAACACATCGCACGTCAGGATTCCCTCGATATTGATTGTTTGTGCCACATCGATGTCTTGTCTGACGGCGCCTTCAGAGAATCCCAAGAGAGGATCCGAGTTCCCCCGTGGAGTGTACTCGTGGCTCTTGGATCATCTTGGGATCCTGTTCGACCGTCTCAGGGTGCTCTTGGGCCGTCTGCTTCCTTCACGGGCCGCCTTGTGCTTTTAAGTCTTCACGCTTCGCGTATCCCCACCAGCCTAGTGTTCGGACGGCTTTCGACCCACCTCGCGAGCCTGTTGACCAACAAGTATCCCCACCAGCCCATTCAGATACCCTGCCCTTCAGAGCTGACGGGGACAGGAACGAAGAGACACATCCAAGGAAACAGAGCGAGCAAAGGGGTGGCCTTGGAAGGCCTCTTCGGGCTATCCCTGGGTGCCGCGTGGGGGCGAGGGGAAGAGGAGGAGGATGAGGAGGAGGAGGAGGAGGAGGAGGAGGAGGAGGAGGAGGGGAAGGAGGAGGAGGAGGATGAGGAGGAGGAGGAGGAGGAGGAGGAGGAGGAGGAGGAGGAGGAGGAGGACGAGGAGGACGAGGACGCGGATGAGGACGAGGACGAGGAGGATTTTGAACCCTCTTTGGTGCCTTTCGGTGGCCTTTGAGGGCATTTTGGGGACATTTTACCTAACAGCGAAGACTGATAGGTTTCTAGTTGACTCAAAAGAGCTCACAGATCACTCCACAGGGGGGTCCGGGCAGGTGTTGGGGAGTTGCCGGGCGGCAGGGTGCCGGGCTCGTTTTTCACCAACAGTCACACACTTCGTGCTCTTCGACTTCCCAGAACTCCATTCCCAGGCCACATTCTGAATACCCGGATGCAACAGTCACACACTTCGTGCTCTTCGAGATCCCAGAACGCCATTCCCGGGCCACATTTAGAATAACCGGATGCAACAGTCACACACTTCGTGCTCTTCGAGTTCCCAGAACTCCATTCCCGGGCCACATTCTGGAGGGCCGGATGCAACAGTCACACACTTCGTGCTCTTCGAGTTCCCAGAATTCCATTCCCGGGCCACATTTTGGATGCCCGGAGCCAACTGTAGGCCACTTCCTGGTCTTCGAGTTCCCAGAACTACATTCCCGGGCCACATTTTGAATAGCCAGACGCTTCGTAGTCCTTCCGCCACAGCCGTGTTTGGTTCAGGAATTGCTAGTGACACTGCAGTCCACTGCATTCAATCGTGCCACTGCATTCGCTCACTGCAGTCCACTCAGTTTCGATTGCAATGGCGTTCCCCTGGCCGTACCCCCATACCCAACGTTCATCCGCAGCCTCTGCTCCGCGAGGCTCGTCCGAAGTGTCGCCGCCTCGCGGTGCTTCTCAGCCTGCGCCGCCTCGCGGTGCTTCTCAGCCTGCGGAGGAAGGTGGACAGACGCCTGGCTCTGGCGCTGTGCAGCCTGCGTCTTTCACGGTCGCCTCGTTCAATTTCGGGTTCGAGCAGGGCATGATGACTGGTAAGCAGGCGGCCACTCACTGCGCTAACTTCGGAAGGGTGTGCGCCACGATAGTGGAGACCGCTGATGCTGATATTGTCTGTGGCTGCGAGGTCGGTGCGTTCCGTGAAGGCTTTCGCCGAGCAGGGATCAACGTGACAGAGATCCTCAGTAAGCCTTTCGGTGATGGCATTCGCTTCTCGGAGGTCGACAACTACTTGACTCTCTGGGGGTTCCGCGGTGCTTCTCAGCCTGCGGAACTGACTCTGTGCGAAGACAGCAAAGTTTACAGGCCTCCTAGCGGCCGAGAGATTGATGCTGTTATTTCACATTTTGAGGTGAACAAACCAGGCCATGACAAGTTCCACGTGGTGATCGCCAACATGCACATCGTGTGCGGCAAGAAACCGCCGACCATCCAGACTCGAAAGCGGACAGTTCGCCATCTCCGCTTGCACCTGGACTGCATGGCTCAGATTCTCAATGCTTCGGAGCCGCACGTGCCAGTCGTTCTGCTTGTAGTCGGCGACGACAACCTCACTTTCCAGGAGGCGCGGGAGGCTTACCAGCGCCAGCAGAACGACGAGAAGCTCTGGGAGGTCCATGCCACTCCGGCCGACCTCAAAGGCGACCACGTCGCGGTCTGCGGAGCAGTCGCCCGTTTCTGCTCCATTGCCGTTGGCGCGTCTTTTACGGATCGTGGCATGCGCAACGACGCACACGATGCGGTGGCGGTTGTGCTCACTCTCCCTGGTGCTATTCAGCCTGGGGAGAGCAAGAGGCGGAAGATTGTCGTCGAAAACGTCTCCGACGCCGACGTCAGCGTACAGGCGGACGCCGAGTCTTCTGTGCATTGGGATCGGTCGCCGAGTTCTACTCCTCCGCTTTCACCGACTTCACCGGGTGATCCCGACTACGTCGAGGATGTCGTTCAGAATCGCGCGAACGACTTGCACAGGGAGCTGAGGCAGCTTTGGGACGACAGGTACGACGAGGAGTACGATCCGAAAGTCCTCCATCATCTCAGTCTCTTGCTTTTCAAAAAGAGGAAGTCCACGGAGCCAGCGGACACTGATCCAGCTGGCGCTCCTCAGCCTGGCTCGGAATATGACGCGGCCTTTGCGTCTCAGGAGGAGACTGGCCGAGCCATTCTCTCTGTCCTTAAGCTTCGACATGACTTTCTGCGGAGCAAGAACATCGACGACATGCGCTACGTTCTCACGGAGCCTGAGCGCCAGGAATTGGTCAGAGTAGCTCGCGACCAGTACGAGCAGTCGCGGCAGCAGCGTGCGCTTCAGGAACGGGATGTCGAAAAGGGAAAAGCGAGAGGCAAGTCTGCGCCACAAGGGGGCCATGCGGTTCCGCAGGGTCCTAACAAAGGGCCAGGCGGTAAGAAAGGTTCTCACGGTGCTTCTCAGCCTGCGGGAAAAGGTGGCCAGGCCAAGGGTGCAGGTCTGGGTAGCGTCGCCAAGTTTGTGAAAGACCAGAAGCGTAAGCGGTGGCATCGCCATTTGCAACGTGTGGCCGGTACCAAACAGATCTGGGAGGTGCTGGCCTTCTCAGGGCGCTTCGACGTTGATTGGTTAACGCAAGCGTTGCAAGCTGATCACAGTGAGGGCCGTGATGCAGCAGTTCCCGAGGAAGCTCTGCGGCAACAGCGGCGCCGGCTGCACCACCAGAAGGCCGAGGCCATCGCGCGCTACAACGAGGGGGAGCGGCTTTCCCGCCATCTGTCTGCCCAGGCTGGCCAGGCAAAGCCGAACTTCACGCGCAGGCAGCTGGACGTGTTGCAGATGTTTGAGAGCGGAGCGCTGCTTCAAATCCGCAACCAAGCGATTCTGGCGTGGGGCACGGCCGTCTGTTCAGGGCCGATGGCGACTACCTGGACATCGGCGGCAGCACGGGCGGTGGCTCCAGGCGCATCATCGATTCTTGGCAGCCGCCGGACTGGCGTGACTTCCTCCAAGACGATCAGGACATCTGAGTTTTGCAAGTCTCTCTGCCCGCGGTGCTTCTCAGCCTGCGGTCTGCCGCTCTCCAGCTGCGGTCTCGAGCAGTAGTGTTCGAAAGCATGCGAGTTCCTGCGGTGCTTCTCAGCCTGCAGGTTTCGCAGCTTGCGCTCTGCAGTACAAGTGCTTTTCAGCATGCGACATCCTGCGGTGCTTCTCAGCCTGCAGGGTTCGCAACGTGCGGTTTGCAATGCATTCCTTTTCAGTATGCGAGTTCCTGCGGTGTTTCTCAGGCTGCAGGGCTCCGAGGCTCTTCGCTTCGATGCCAATGTTTTCAGACACCGTAGCTCCGTTCCGTAAACATCTTCCAAGAGCCGCTCGCAACCTTTTGCAGCTGGCGGTCTGCAGACGTAGTCTGTCTCAGCATGCGAGCTCCCGCACGCTTCGCCGGCTTTTGCTGCGCGGACAATTTTCTCACACACGTCAGCGCCGTTTGTAGGCGTCAGAAAAACATGTAGACATTCACGAAGGGCTCAGTCTGTATATCGTCACATCATTACATACGCAGTCGTCGAACACATCGGTGTACATTCAGCGCTTTGTCCTTCTAGCTGGGTCGCTTCGTGCTGAGGCTGAGGCTGATGCAGGCTGAGGCTGAGGCAGGCTGAGGCTGAGGCCGAGGCCGACGGCAGACTGAGGCTGAGGCTGAAGCAGGCTGAGGCTGAGGCTGAGGCAGGCTGAGGCTGAGGCAGGCTGAGGCTGAGGCTGAGGCAGGCTGATGCTGAGGCAGGCTGAGGCTGAGGCTGAGGCTGATGCAGGCTGAGGCTGAGGCAGGCTGAGGCTGAGGCCGAGGCTGAAGGCAGACTGAGGCTGAGGCTGAAGCAGGCTGAGGCTGAGGCTGAGGCAGGCTGAGGCTGAGGCAGGCTGAGGCTGAGGCTGAGGCAGGCTGAGGCTGAGGCTGTGACTGCGACTGCCGTTGCCACTGCGACTGTCCTCGCGAATGCGACAACGACTGCGAGAACAGCAGAATTCTACAACTGGATTCTCATCCGAATCTTAAGGGGAATGCTTCCAGATATGCTCCTACACATGGCTGTTAGGTTGCTTTGCCGGGATAATTTTCTGTTGGGTTCGGTACAGGGGCCCGAAGCAGCAGGGGCCCAGTGGGGCCCCATCAGATATTGCGAGCTGCTGCGCTACCACTTTAGTGGAAGAAAAACGACTCCTCCAGGGCCCCCCGGCCTCGGGGATTTGTAGATTTGCCCGCGCGTCCTGAGGCGCGGCGGGAAAGGGGGGAGAGGGAGGGGGAGGGGGAGGAGGAGGAAGAGGAAGATGGGGGATGAGGAGGAGGAGGAGGAGAAGGAGGGAGAAAGAGGAGGAAGAGCAGGAGGAGTAGGAGGAGGAGGAGGAGCCATCAGAGCAAGCACCGTCCAGCTGCAGACCCTCACCCCCCCCCCATCCCCCCCCCCTGGCCCCTCCTCCTGGCGCTCCAGCCAAGAGGGCTCCAAGAGGCCTCCAGCAGGGCCTCCACCGCCCGAGGCAATTTCTGCTGGAGTTCCTGCCGGGCCTTC